ACAAAAGGCCGATTCTCTTGGGAACGGAGAGGCAGGAACGCCGCGTCTGTGAGTAATTTCCTGCTCAATATGGCTGCTCTGACTCATTTTTTTTTCTCCCGGCGGGACTGCAGCGCGCTCGCCGCCTCTCGCTCTTCCCCCCAGCTCTCCCTCTTCGCCCTTTGTGGCTGGAAGGAGATGATTTTTTTTGTTCCACTCCCTTGTTCCCCGTTATTTTTCCCTCCCCAGTTTAAAACCGTAGCCAAACCATCCATTGCCGGGCATTCCGGGTGAGGAGGGCCGTGGTGGTGGTGCCAGGCGCTCGCCCAGCCCGAGGCACGAGCGTGGGGCCGGCCAGCCCTGCTCGCCTCCTCTGCGCTCTCCAGCACACTCGCTCCGGCTTGGGAAGGGGGGAGAAGCAAAGTGTGACGGTGGTGGCTGATGGAAGCTGCACCCCTGTGAAGGGCAGCGATGCTGGAGGAAGGTTTGGTGTCAAAATGCAGCTGAATCCCCTGTATGGGGAGGGGGAACCGCCTGGCGCTGAGCTCCCCCACAGCCTTTAACTTGTGTGCCCACCAGTGCCCAAATCCTTGCGCTTAATAACGCGCCGGCTCTGTCGGGTAGCGTCGTGCTTTGTGTATCTGCGCGTTTCATCTTGTATCCGCACGGAAAGCGCGCACGGCGGAGGGGAGCAGGAACGGCCGAGCGGCTCATCTGTCAACCTCCAGCTGCCGAGAGCCGCCGAGGGGAAGCGGGGATGCATCTGCACTCTCCCGGCACCGGGCAAAACTACAGACCCCCTGGTGCTCCAGCCCTGAGGTCAGCGGGTTGGAAACACATTGTCCTCCAAGCAGTGGGGTTTTTTGGGTGCTCCCCCCCTTTTTCCCACTCTTTTTCTTTCTCTGCTGCAGGCTGGTGCTGCACGCACCTTGCAGAAGGGCAGCAGTGATTTCTGAAAGTGGATTGATGGGCTTTGCTCGCTTTTACAGCAGGCAGGGGGCGGTTTTGGCGGCTCTGTTCCCACCCTCGCTCCAGGCCTGTGTGTGTGTGGAGGGAAGGGGTTAGTTGTTGGAGCCTCGAGTCGAGAATGGGAGTCCAAGAGATTCTTCTCTCCCCACGCTCCTTTTTAGCGTGAGCTTCGGCCTTGCGGTTTCTGATGTCATGGGAACTTCGCTCAGTCAGAGTGGCTGCGTTGTATTTCTTTTTCTCCCTGAGGGTCTGTTTTTGTTCATGGAGGAGAAGGAGAGACAACTACCCAGGGAATATACATGCAACTGTCCCTGATTGCAGCTTCCCCCCTGCCCTCCCTCCTCCAAACCCCTCGCCCTGGGAGGAGAAAATAAAAAAATGTCAAAAATAAAAAAAAATAAAGCATCTGCTCCAAACTAGCAACTCGCAGCTCTAGAGCTGGTTTGGAGAGTGGAGCTGGAGCACGTCCCCTCCGCTCCTGCCTCCCCGGGAGCC